AGTCAAAGTGACTCTGCCACGTGTCCACATGATCGAACAACATGCCTTCACTCGCACACCCACACAAGATGGTCAGGATGGTCAACTGTCGAGGCTCCGACAGCTCCGTGTCTAGGCGGGGCGCCGAAAGGACACAGGTTACGAATGAATTTCAGTCTTGGCCTGTGGAGCGAATGTTGACTCGAAAAGTGGATCGGGTCACGATTTAATCGAGCAACTTGGACAAATATGATCGCCAGCTGGTTGGTGGACAGTCCAAAAACATGCGTCTGGCCTACACGTACACATGCACATGCTTGTTAAATATGTCCTCACACTCAGATGACTTCCTGCCCTCCCTTCAGGCTCGTCCAACGGCAGTCGCCAGGTGTCTCGTCACACCCCTTTTACCGCGAAAACTTTCTCAGCAAACTTTTTCAAAAAAGAGGATGTTTTAACAAGGTTGCTTCTAATCTATCCACAGAAGAGCATTCCTATGCAACATGCTTAGCCCAAAACCATCACCACCACCACCACCATCATCATCATCATCATCATCATTATCATCACTTTTCATCTTAAAATCTGCATCCGCCTTGAGTCCCGTTAAAATAGTGTTTCTTCACTTTGGCTCACGGGGCTACATTCCGTCCTAGAAAAACATTGCCTAACTGTTGAAACTAGGTCGATTCAGAAGAGAAAAGGGGAAGATTAAGGCATGCAAATGACAGATAAACATGTCGAAAGTCTGGGCGGGATTGGGCCAAAGGGACATTTCCGACCCCTACCGGCTGTCAATCAGAGAGCAAGGCAGCGGTAGGACGGCGCCATCTTGGCCAATAGTCGGCGGAATGGGCAGAGTAGCAAGCAGAGAAGAGGACATGAGCCTACACGAAGCGGTAACGGCTCTTCGGTTGCCGGACGGCACACTTCGTTTGAGTATAGGTCTCTGCGAGTATGGACGCCCGCTGGTCGCCCAGCCACGGAGAGGCGGCCGGCAGTTCCCTGAAGTTGGGGGAACAGAAAAGACGTGGGGGTCATAAACGAGTTTGCAGAAAAAGTCCGGACTTCACTCGTAGTAGACGACTATGTGGGTTTTAATGTATCCCTTTTGGATAACATTGCTACTTTTGGTTCGTATGAAAGTGAATGATCAAGAGAGACGAGGCGACCTCTATTTTTTTAGGTGAAAAGGAACTGTAATGAATTTCATAAGGTCTGGAATTGGTTGTTACAGCAAATTCTAGTTATCACTAAGGCAATAGGCTATCCGACCCTATACTACAGGTGAAATCTCGCTATAACGAAACTTTGTGGACTGCACAAGTTATTTTGCTATAATGAAACTACGTTATAGCGGGCAAAGAAAAAAAACATTTAGTTTCAGTAGGCAATTTAATTGTTAGCTTTTCTGAAAATTTCGTTATTGCGGTATTATTGCGGTATTATTGCTCCAGGGCTTTGACCTGTATACTCACAACACTAAACGAAAATAGATAGACAGAGAAACTGTTTCGTGTTAATCGTAATGGCCTTTTGTACAAAATGAAAGTCTTCACAACATGTCATCCTTCTGGAAGCCCGGCTTGCTAGTCGAGCTGAAAGCTTTGGAAAAGGCGCCGGAGGCAACCAAACCTGTGCCGAGCCAAGACGAGTTCTTCTCTCCTCGTCAACTGGACAGAGCAGAACAAACATGTTGTAGGTCCGGAGGCGGTGCCCTGTTACAATTTTACTCGACAGCGCCCGAAGCAAGGGCCCTATTGTCACACTCCATTTCGTATCCAATGGGCCACAATAGCGAAGTTAAGCTCAGAGTACAGCGTTAGTTGAGCCCTCTTTGGGACTA